TTGTTTCAAAGAAAATACTCAGAACTTACATTGAAATCTTGCCTATTAAGAATTAGAGGAAAGAAATCTCTTCTACTAATATTCACATTTCACTAGGCTTTGGTTTCTATATCTTTGTTCCTCTTAATGTATAAAAGGCACATTTTATACTTTTGTCCCTTTAGCAGCCATTGTCCCCATTGTCCTTTTGCCTTGTTTCTTACCGAGGATACATACTTTCCCAATTACTACATATTAGTTCCACAGAACACTGTGGGCCATGTGATGGAGGTACACAGAAATTGGCTCAAAATCTTATATTTCACTCAGCAATTCATCAAAATAACTCTTGAAGTTTTCACTTAATAAAAAAAGAAGGAAGTGTTATCTTTTCCATTAGAGTTGAATGTGGGAAGCTATCCTTCTGGACCGTCTGGACCTTGAGGACTATAGCACAAGGAAAGAGAATAACTTGATAATAATGTCAATTGGAGGGAAACAGTTTAAGGAGCTGTATAAATCTCAAGTCATTATGGCATAGAGGCCTGTTAATCTGGTTTTAGAAGTACACTGGAATTTTCTCTTAACATTTGCTTACAACACTCTGAGCTGAAGGGTTTCTTATCAGTAACTAAAAAATGGCTGTTAGAATAGTTTAAAATTGTACTAAAATTCTAGAGACTTAGGTACAGTTAATATATTTTTGTTCCATCTTTCTATTTTTCTAGAAAGAATTGTTACCATAGTTTCTTATTCTAGTCTTACAATCTTTATATGATTATAAAGTTCAGTGATTATCCCAAGAAATTTTGTGAATTAAATAATTTTAATAATTCTACTACTTAATCAAATGAATCTAATATACACATTTCCTCTAAGAGGAATTCAAGAATGATACAAATTTCTTAACTGAGTCTAAAGAGAACCAAAGTGATTCCATATTGTGCTTAGTCTTGGGAGTCCCTGTTAACAGATTAACCCTTAGACCTAAGGCTCAACTAATGAAAGTGAGCAGTAACCTTTCTGAGTGCTTATAGAGACCCAGCAAAGGAGATAGAGAAGGGAGAAGTGTCCTTTTCCATATAACCATCCCCTTTCCACATAACCAACCAAGATTTTATTAGCTTAAGCATTGCAAAGTCAACCTTAGATGCTGACTGCTGCTAAAACAAGTTTTAAGATTTGTCTTGACTGACTCCATTTTGCTCCGAGTGCTCATCAATCATTGCTTATTTTTAACCTCCTTCAGAGAACTGAAACCAATTGTTTTGCCCTACAATTGAGGCATGGCTGTCCCTCTCATTTTCCCCCTATTTCTCCCTCTCTCTGTCTCCACAAACACACACTCCCTATAACAAATTTTAAAAATTAGTATGGACAAAAATTGTTCAGAAAATGACAGCTTTTACTTGTGATTGAGACCTCCTTGCCTAAGTAAGTCAGATTATAAAGATGCATAGTTTAATATAAAAAGACTTAGAATGAATATGATTTAAGCCTATAAAATCATTAACACCATAAATAATATGAATACAGATTTATTTTATATTTCCATTATATTATAACAAAAACCAGGAACAATAAATTGTATAAACTTGCTAGCTAAACTTAATTTCTAATTATCTTTAACTTGAATTAACTTGACAACTTAACCTGAATTATCCTTTCTCTCTTCCATGGATTCGCTCAGCATCTAATCTGTGTATGAGTCGCTTAGCAATCTCCATCAATACTAAAACAAACAAATATTGATTCTCTTTTTTGTAGAACTTTTTTATCTCCAACCCTAAGTAAGCTTAAGTTATCATTAAGTGACTATTTTGAATGACTAAATTTAAATCTGAACTTAAAATTTGAAAATAATAAACTTTTTATCAATTTGCCATATATTACTTTAGTTATTATTAACAAACTGAAGTACATTGCTTCAGCATGTGAATTTAATGATTAAGTTACTAGTATAGTGTTTGAAAGTCATAGGACCCATGGCAATCCATGCCATGGCAATCAATGGGTAGGACTTTGAAAATTCAATTGTCAAAAACATTAGAAGTTATATTCCCAATTTGGACATTCCTACAAGTTTTAGCTTTAAATGTGTGGTATAAATAAAGATTAATATCTCATCAGTGTTCGAGGACATACACACAAATACACACAATCTGTTAATTAGGACAGAAAAGTGATAAAATTAGCTTAACTATATTAGTTTTATGTTTCAGTGTTTGCATAAGGATATTAATAATATAATGTAAATATACATTTAAATTTCAATAATGTACAAATATGGTCTTCTAAACATTTGTTACTTGAATAATAAACCTCAAATAGTTTCACTTTTTAAAAAAGGTTATTATCTTACTGACTGTATCTTTGAAAGCTAATTTCACTTGCTTGTTCCTTAAAGTATAGATGAAAGGGTTCAACAGAGGAGCCACTGAAGTATTTAAAACAGCGACCCCTTTATTATAAGTTGCTGCATCCTTAACAGAAGGATTTATATACATGAAGATACAGCTTCCATAAGAAAGGGAGACCACAATCATGTGAGAGGAGCATGTAGAAAAAGCTCTTTTTCTTTGCTGAGCAGAGGGGATTCTCAGAATGGTCCTGATAATGTATATGTAGGAAAGAACCACTAGCATCAAGGTGAAGATGAGTGTCACTGCAGCAAGGACAAACTCAAGCATTTCAATGAAATGTGTGTCTGAACAGGACAAATGCAACAGTACAGTGTAGTCACAGCAATAATGATTGATGATATTGGATGCACAGAAAGGCAGCTGCAGAGTCATTACATGTGGCACAATGACAACTAGAAAACCAGAGAACCAGGAACACAGGACAAGTTGAATGCAAAGTCTCTTGCTCATTATGGTTGTATAATGTAGGGGTTTGCAAATGGCAATGTAGCGATCATAGGACATGGCAGCTAAAAGATAAAATTCAGTTGCTCCCAGAAGGATTGCAAAAAAATACTGAGTGAAACACCCAGTAAAGGAGATAGTCTTATCTGCAGTTCCAATACTGAGTAGCATTTTGGGAACAAAGACAGAGGTGAAGGATACTTCCAAAAATGAAAAATTCCTCAGGAAGAAATACATAGGAGTCTGGAGGCGATAATCCAGCAGGGTCAGAATGATGATGGTCAAATTTCCCGTGACACTGAAGATGTAAGTCAGCAGCAGAAAAAGGAAAAGCACAGCTTGCACCTTGATGTCATTTGTCAGCCCAAGAAGAATGAACTCTGTCACTGATGTTTGGTTTCCCATTATTAATTTCAGACAAATTAATGTAGAGAATAATTATAATGACGATGATAAAGGTCAGAATAAAATTAAATGTTTCCAATTTGTATTGAAATATTGCATCAGTGTCAAAAAACTATCAGAAGTAAGATTTTTAATTGATTCTATTTTTTTCTACACATTATTTTGAAAATGACACTTGCCTGAGGAAAAGAAAAGTTTAAACATTTACTCAATTTATTTCAAAAACAACCAAAGTCTTCCTTCTTAGAAGCATTTTAACTTTTATCTAAATCGCATTTATATTTATTTTTCAATGTTTTCTCACTTGTTTATATATTTTCTTCTTAGTCTTTTTGTTCTGGTTTTCTTCTGTAACTTATTGGTTGCTAATACATGTGCATACATGTGCAATCTAAAGCAAATTTAAATGGAATGAGTTTTATATGAAACTTTTAAAAAATAGCCTTAAATTTTCAATTTATCAGTCAATAAAAAAATATAATCCAAAGTATAAACAATAAGAATAAAATTGAACTTGCTTTTGTTGTTGTGTATTTTTTTGCTTATGTCAACTTTGTCATTTTGAATGTCGGTAACTGTGTACACATACTGAAGTTTGAAGCCTGTATGGATTTTTTTTTCATGATACTTAAGTGTTAAGAATTCATATTAATTATAGTTTGAGTCCTGGAAAGAGCTCTATAAGACATCACAATTTAATATAGATATATAGATCAGTTTTTACTGAAATATTAAATCAAAATAATCTCACTGATTGTGCTGTCTTGTTTCACAGTGTCTACTCATTCATACATTATAGTTCCTTAAAAAAAAAGTCAAGATCAAGCTCTCCATAAAATTTTATCTAATAATCCCAATCAACAACAATCTTTCTTCACCTTTTTAATTAAAATATACCATAACACTAGTTCATAAAGACAAATTATTTTCTAGTTATATCTAATATGTATGTTTTACCTGTCCATCTTAAACAAAATAAATTACTCATGAGAACAAGCTCAGATTGCTTTGTATCTTAAAAGTCTTTTTTTTAATTATTTATTTAATTTTATTTGTTCATTTTAATTTTACCAGAGATACACACACACACACACACACAGAGAGAGAGAGAGAAAGTGAGAAGGCAAGCCACCAGGCCCAGTACTAGAACCACAGTCGGCCATGTGGGAGTGTCCAGCGCCTTATCTACCACACCACCTGCTGGTCCCCAAATTGCTTTGTATCTTTACAGAGGCAAGTAAATTGTAAAGATTTTAACAATATTTCAATGCAAGATATATTTTTGACTTCTCTTTAAATGCATAGTTTTGTTTTATTGAGTGCTCTAAAGTTTTCATTCAAATAAGAAATTTCAATTAAATTTATACACGTGATTCATGAGGATTATGTTTTAGTAGTTTTCATCATCAGACATGAAGAGATGTTACTAAGACAATGTATTTTCTATTCAAAAAATTATAAATTATTTTCATATTAACTTTAATTGTATTTTAAATGTGAGTGCTTCACTATATGTATTTTATATTCTCATACAATATATAATGAGTTAGCAATGGTCACACATCTGATATCCTTATCCAAGTAAATTTTTAGGAATCTTTAATATGAAAAAAGGATAGTTTTTTTCCAAATCTTCTTTAGGAAGATTTATTTTCCAGTAGAATTATATCTAATACATTTTAATATTCCTAGTATTATATAACATAGCCAACTTGCACTTTTGTAAGACTATTCTCTTTCATAATATACCTCACAAGTTAGTTCTAAGAATCAAAAAACTTAATATAATTTCTATCTATAACATGCTATATAGTTACAGAGTTAGGTTAAAAATTCTGTTATATTTACGAAAATCAAGATTACTATACCAAGGACCAACAGATGGTGTAATGGCGACATCACTGGACTCCCATGTGGTCGAACACGGTTCAAGTCCTAAACTCGTTGGCTTAAACTCACACCGGACACATGTGCATGTGTGCCCAAGATCCAAGAGGAGAATGGAGAAGAAGGAATTGTAGTGTGGTCATTCCCCTGGGGGGTGATTTCTTGCTTTCTGTCTCTCTGTCTCTATCTGTCTTTCTGGCGAGCACATGCGCTCTATAGCAAAAACCTCTCTGAAAAAAGAAAAACATTGTTATACCAATAACACAAATTTAATGAAATTATGGCTATCTAGTTATCTGTATCTGAATATCTTACCCTATATGCTTTATAATAGGTATAAAAAATTAAAAATTATGTACAAATAATTTGCTGAACAATTTTATATTCAGAAAAATATTAGGACATAGCTTTTACTATGACAAAATAGTTCACTAAATTATAATATTACCAAATGCAGTTGAATTAATCTTGGGGGTTTAATCAATAACATTCTTTTTGTTTTTACGTGAAAATAACTAACATCTCAGATAATTTGAGGATATCAATTTTTATCTTCTAATTTTAGATCCAAAGTATTAATTGACTTTAAAGTCTTACAATGTAAATGATCAATTTTGTTTACTAATGATCACTACTATTATATAATTTTCATTTTTAAATATTTTCTGACAAAATAAAATCTTTATAAATGATTTTTCACTAGCGAATGAATAAATGAATGAGAGATCAAACGTGAGAGCAGAAACAGAATTTTGATGTTAATAAGTAATCATTTTGTTTATTAAATAAAAGATAAAAAAATTCTAATTCTTATCTAAGGAAATATATCAAACATGTTTATTTAAGCATATTAAAATATTATAATCTTTTACAATAAAGATTAGTTATAAATATATAGAGATGTACAGCAATGTATGTAGTGATATAAACATATATATTATCTAATAAGTAAAAATTGATCCAATCAAGTTTATTTGGCAGAAAAAGATATTGTTTTCAAATATTTTACTGTTAGGACACTGGTAAAAAAAAATGTGAATTGTATTTGTGGTTAAAAGAAATGGAAGAAATTTCTCAATCTTTTCTGCATGACTTTAGATATGAATCACATCTCTCAAGGTAAAATCATGCCAGAATAAATTATATAGCTCTCATATACTCTCTCCTTCTGTGGTGAATCCCAAAGCTTTAACAAATATCTATTAGTTTATGGGATTTGACCTAGATTACATTTAGGAGGAAAATTAATAAAATAGAATCCATGGAAAGTTGAAATAAACATAGTGGGTAAAAAAACTAATTTCACTTATTTTACCCTTTAATGCTCTGATTGGGCAAGTATGCAATGACATTTGTAGCTGAAAATATGTATATATACTAAAATTTCATGTGTTAGATTTTTACCTATGTTTATATGAATCAAAATTGTACAAAAAGAACATGCGTGTATTTATGTCAATAAGCAAAGATGAAAAGGAGACCAATGAAGCAATAAAGAGATTATGCATCTCTAACTACATGGTAGGTAGCCATCACCAACCCCCTCCTACCTTAAGTGGTGAATCAATTCTGTCTTAGTTCCACATTAGCTCCGTTTATGGCTGCATTGGAGAATATAAAGATTTAGAACCCATTGAGAAATGGTCCCCAGGCCATAGAAAGCAAAACTCTAAGCAAGTTGTTTACATGACAATGAAAATAAATGTAAAGATTATGAAATATATTTATTCCAGTAATTTTATCTGTATGTCTTCCATCTCACACACAAAATTACACAATATCTCCTTTTATACTGAACTCTGAATTCTTATTAATTTTTATAGCAGTAAAAGTAATATAAGCACTGCAAAAATTCAAGTGCTGGTGATAGTGGCTGTCATGTAAAGAATTGTCACCCTGAGCCAGCCCATGAGCTTACTGGTTAAGGGAGCCAGGTCCCAAATGGCTGACTGCACAGTTGGAATCCCAGCCATTAAGGCTTGAAAAGTATGCCTGGCATGTGTGTATGCATGCCCAAAATCTCAACGGGGGGAAAAATGGAGGAGAAGGGATTGTGGCATGATCATGCCCCACAGGAGGTGTGGTCTCTACCTTTCTCTCTCCATCTGTCTTTGATTACAGCATGAACCCTCTGGCAAAATTTTAGAATAAAATAAAATAATTTAAAATAAAGAATTGTTGGGAACAGCAGATGGTGTAATGGTTACATTGTTGGATTCCCACTTAGTCAACCATGGTTTGAACCCCAACCCTGGAGACTTAAAACTCACCCCAGTCATATGTGCATGGATACCCAAACTCCAAAGAGAATGGAGGAGAAGGGGTTGTGGTATGGCCATCTCCCCTGGGAAGGGGGCATTTCTAGCTTTCTGTCTCTCTGTCTCTCTCTATCTTTCTGGTGCACACACATGCTCTATAGCAAAAATCTCTCTAAAAAACGAAAGAGAGAAAGAAAGAAGAAAAAGAAAGAGAAGAATGAAGAAAAAAGAACGAACAAAGAAACACAGAAAAAGAAAGAAAGAGGAAAGAAAAAAAGAAAGAAAGAAGAAAGAGAGAGAGAAAGAAAAGAAAAAAAGAAAGAAGAAAGAAGAAAGAAAAAAGAAGAAGAAAGAAAAAAGAAAGAAAAAAACGAACAGTCATCTCTTGGTGAAATAACAGTTGTATTGTTAGGCACTTACCATTGTAATCAATGTCTCAAATTAATAAACTTCATTTCCATTAAAGCACTTTATAGCTTCATGGGAAAATAGTTGTTTTCAGGGTTCGGGAAGGAAAATACAAAATGGTTGTGGAACATCTAATAGTGTCTAAAGAAGGAAAGTGATATTAAAAGATGGGATCGTCTCAAAACAGTAACGGTAACGCTGCAGCCACTCAAAGGAGCTTCTAGTGTCCAAAGCAGGAACGGTCTGAACAACAAAAAATATAATGATAGTCAAACTGTAACCAATAGGATAAAATAAATATTTCTATAATGATATTCATTGAAATAAACCACTGACTAGCTAAAGAAAAATGGAGAACAGGTTTTCTTGGTTAATTAATTAATTTATTTATTTATTCCATCAAAGAAAGACAAAGACAGTTACCCAGCAGAGTCTTCATGCTAAGAT